TAATACGGGTCAAATCAGAACAAACCGCGACCCGTAACTCGCATGGGCTCGACTCTGATGAGTCAGTGGGCGGGCTTGGGTTGTAGTCCAAAATTTGTGGGCCGGCTGTTTTCACGCGGGCCGTTACCGGGCTCATATGTTAGCAAGCCGACCCGGCCCGGACCACCCGGATTGACACCTCTACCTGTATCAAGCTGAGCAAAAGAATAAGATTCATGCAATGGGTACATGGAAGGATGAGAACTTGTAGTCCATGTGTTTCGAAAAACTAATATAAAACTATAAGGGAACCAATCCTCCAATATTCTCTTCATCAATAGATAATTACTCTAGTAAATGGGAAACAGAAAAGCAAAGGAAAGTAAAAATGAACAATAGAAATAATTGGAAATGCCAATTGACACCTTCATAAGCAGAAGACTAAAGTAAATGACTTGACCCAGAATTTGAACACACATCATACATATAACACAGGAAAAGGAGAACTTCACTGAACCTGTTGAGCAGAGGGTGGCAATGGTAACAGAGGTTGTTGAACTGCTGGAGTAGTGACAGAGGATAGGGAATTCAAAGAAATTGAACCCATAATATGCACATCTTTCTGATCTGGGTATAACTTTGGCATCTGAGAAATTTCGGATAGTCTGGGCTGTGACAATTGATTTGGAGTTACCAGAGCTGGTGGTTGCTTCAACAAGGGGTCTGATGTTGAATCTAGAACAAAAGATGTGGAAGGAAGCAAACCTTGAATTGGAAGCAATGTTACAGGTTCAGGAACTATGTTATAACCGAGTGAAGCTTCCATATTGCTCACATGCTGGGAAGCTAGGGAAAATGAAGGCATGGTCAATCTATTTGAATTCAAACCTGCAGTTTGATGGGAGGGCAGTGATGACTCCAGGGGCAATGAGGAAAGTGAATTGGTAGGAGATGTAGGATGTTGCAGAGAAGTAAGAGTAGGTTTGAAATTTGAATATATAGAATTGGATGCAGCAAATGAAGGACTGAGAGAAACGTTATCATATACATTTGTGGCTGCCATGGTTGTACGTGCCAGGGAACCAGAAGCCTCCAATAAATTCTGCACTGGATATGGTATTCTGGCGGATGAAACAGAATGCTGCTGAGCATAAGGAGTACTTCCTGCTGATCCATTATATCCTTGCCAGTGATTTCGCAAATCATAAGGTGTCATACCAAAACTTCGAGCAGCCTGAGAAGGACCCCATAGCTCCATCTGATTTCCAGAAGGATTTGGAGGAGATCTGCTGAGGTCAGAACTTGTGTTCAAAGCCGAGGGTTCATTGTAAGAGCTGGCTTCTACTATAGATCCACTAGCATCTGATACTGGTCTCGATAAGTTTGAAGGTCCAGCAGCATATTTTGACTGAATTAAAAGTAGCGACATGAGTAATGTTGTTCATATTTTCATTTATCAAAGCATTCATATCAGTATTCCTTGTAAAGAATGCTAAATACCTGAATAATTGCTGGGTCACTTTGTAATGGCTCCTGTACTTCAGCTGGTCGAGAGGCCTTCACTTGTAAATCCTGAAATTGGACATATATTACTTAGAGATGCAAGAAATTATATGAATGAAGCAAATTGAAAGTACTCCTAATTTACAGATAATGTTTGGGCTATGGAAACTGTCATGCATAGAGATATAGCATGGGAAAAAAACAGCCCTATCATTACATGGGTGGTTGCAGCTAGCCATCTAAAAGAATCGTTAACCAATGTAGATAAATGCATGCAAGGATCTTCTTTTGTCATCAAAAAATGGCATAAAACTGAGGACTCTTGCCGGCAAATATGGGTTGCTACATATATTCTCTGTTGGTCCAAAACATTTATGAATGTAATCCAATAGCAATTCCCAGTCTTAAATGACTTGGAATGTCCAAAACACAGCATTGCCCCTTCAAAAATAAATTATGAAGACCTTAAATAGTCCACTTTGAACGAGCTTTTCTCACACTGAAACCAAGCAAAATTTGCACAGCTAGATTAGGTATGGTCTTTTACATTTATGAGCTAGTGAAGCCGAGCTCAAAAAAATTATAAGCTTAAGAACAAATTGAAAATTTCAATTGATTATCTCACGAGCTATTTTAACAGGTATCTAACAATCTAACTTCGAGCTAATTTAGTGCTCTACATTGATGTAAATATTCCCAATTTGTAAACAATGTTGAAGGAACATGTAAAAAAGAGTACATCATAGACCATTCATATAAACTTTATTCATTGGAAACGGTATTTCTTTTAATTATGTGAACAAACAAGTTACATAATGTAGGCAACCTCTATAGACTTTAAGAAATAAATTCAAGTTTAATCATGTATTATCAGGACACATATTTAAAAACCATTGTAGAATGTGCAACCCAACTACTAAATCGCTCATCATATTAGTACAACCCAATTAGCATAGTTTACAAGAAAATTTGAACCAAAAACGTGCTATGGGTTTTAGGAATTTATAGTGTAAAGATAATGAAGGTGATCTAAATACTTCTCAACAATAATTAAAAATAAATATATCAAGATCCTAGTTAACAGGCTCTACTCAATTGCTCCTTCCCTGTGCTGTTATTAGGTCAGCCACTAGTTCATTGATTTAACTGATTAAAACATGGATCTTATCATAAAGGATGTCAAGCAATATAATGTCAAATTCTGAAATTTTAGCCTTAAGATATGCTTTTGTTAATCAAGTCATCCGATCATTTGAACTTGTGGGAGTTGTTTACCTTTCAATTCACTAGTAAAAATAGGTTAAACCGTCTAACAAATACTGGCTCTTCCAACTACTGCACTCCATATTTTACCGATCATAATCTCATAAAATATTTTAACATCAAAGTGAAAATTCTTATATTTATATGTGCTGCAGGCACAAAATATTGCAGGT